TTCATAGGTCAGGGACTGACCAAACCTAGAAGGCGCCAATGTAGCGTAATGCAGAATCGATTAATGGGACAACCAAGTTTTTAGGTTGCTAGGCTATGCCTTAGTTGGTTTCCAGCCGTCTTATGTGTACTTCACACAGTTGGAGGGTACCAGTTTAGCATGGCATTTTTGTATAAAAACAAGCGCGGGCGTTGCTCGTCCTCTTTTCCCGTTTGGCAATCGTCCTGAGCAGACGTCCCAATTAGCGAATCAGTTGAAGTCCAGGGAAGAAGCCTCATACATAGTGTGAGTTTGATTTACTCGGATAATCGAGACCCCAATCACAGTATAGATCATTAATTACAGAACCACCCTGGAAATTAGTTAATATAGCGCTTGTCAATTCATGAATATTGAACGAATCAGTAATCCTCATTCACTGTAATTAAACGTGTACTGTGAGAATTTGACTTTGTCACGTAGGCGAAGCGCCTTTGGAAAGGCGTGCGGGTGTAAGCAGAATAAATTAAAGGAAGGATACTGGTTCTGTATGATTTGTGTCCGTCCCCATTTATTGTCGTCATTATCCCCGTTCGTCGAGGTGTGTTGGGGTTGAACTATTGCTGGGGTGTGGGTGTGGTGTGGTAGCAGACTCAAGAGACTAAACCGTCACAATACCAAGATTTTATTATTAAAACAAAAACCAGATGAATTGAACGTTTGTTTCAGTTTATGATCCTCCAAAATTGTTCGTATTGACGAGCCTCCAATCTCAATTGAGGCACAGATTTTCACTCTTAATCTACATTAATTCTGATCGAGTATGAAGAACATTTTCAACATTTATTCAAAAAAAAACAAAGATGATAGGCTTAGGAAAATCTTTATTTTGTGCAGCGACTTTGTTCGAAAAGTTGTTTTCCTTTGATCCTCTCATCAGATTTTTAGAAAATGTGTTTGACATAAGAATGAGGACAAGATACAGAAAATTTCATTCCTACCTTCTATGAAATGCTGCAGTGAAAATAACTTGCTTGGCGACCATGGCTAATTCATATCAACTGGATGGCGAGTCAGCGACCGTTATAGTGAGCTGCTGCTGCTAGATTGCTGACTCGACTGAGCAGAGCGATTCAAATGAGCTATCACATGGTCTGGACATGGAATTTCTGCTGATGCGCATGCGCCATGGTAATATTTTTCTTTGAGAATAAGAATCATATTTCTAGTTACGTTGGTGTGGGCAATGAGGTACATGTATGCATTGAATATACAACAATGAATATGGGCGGGAAACAGTCGCGCTTTGACCACGATCTCATCCGTCTTAGACCATTAGAAAAATGTCTGGAAACATTATATTCCTACTACGACAAAACAAAACATGATGATGTTCAAAATTTCATGAGTTACATTAATAATGCAAGGCGGCACCCAAATGTTAATTATTAAGGGAATAAACGTGTGTTTCGGAGGTACCGGTATTATAACACTCTGTTTAAAACCAGTGTGAGTCTGGATGGGTAATTAGCACCCTCCAGACTCTCACCGGTTTTAAACAGAGTGTTTAATACCGACGGAACACATATTTATTCCCATTCATAAATACCGTTTTGGTAAAAAAACAAATCTTTTCGGTCCAAAAATCAAAACAAGTCAAAAACTAGACGTTGTTAACCATTTTGTTCAACAATTTTACTTCATGTTTTACGAAACACCCCTCTGACTATAATATGGAATGCCCCTCCACAATTGCGTGCGCATCGCGCATTCCACCTCCATGGTCGCGCGTACTGCGCGATGTCGCGCAAAACGCAGCTGGGCTTGTGTAGTGTGAATATCGGACTATGAAATAATGATTCACTGGTAGTATTGCGCATGCATACGTGGGGAATTTGAACGTGCAACCAATGAAACGTTAAAAGGCACCGGATTTCATGGGAGTCCAAATTTCATGTGACACTGGAAAAGTGTTTAAGACCAGCTAGCCATGCCTTTATCATCCGTTTAAGACCAGCCACGTGACAGGCTCTCGACCAATAGGAATGCCTAAACCGTCTTAGGGGTTACACCTCTATGTTCCGACACCCCTATGTTCCGACTGCACATATTCCTATTCCTAACCCTAACCCTAACCCTAACCCTAAAAGGGAGTAACACAATCTAGGTTGTCGGAACATAGGGGTGTCGGAACAAAGAGCAGTCACCGTCTTAGGTATTTATGAATATCAATTAAAACATCATTAATTAAAAGATTATGTTCACTATACATTCAGTACATCGTAATCACAATGTTTTTGTCAATACCATAACAGCATGGATCGTAACTACAATGTGATTTTACACAACATAATTGCAACTTAAATTGTCAAAACACCTTTACAAAACGTTACAGCAATCTGAGGTTCACAACGTAACAGCAACGGTGTGAAAATACCAAACTGCAATGTTACGACAACATGATACACATGTATTTCAACAAAATTATTGATTATAACCTCACACCAACGTTGTGAACGTTCTAAATTACAACGTCCTGACAACGTAACATTGACAACTTAAAAACAACGTCATGAAAACACCTAATACAACGTAGCCACAACGTCATATTTATTACTTTATTACAACGTTTGTGAAACGACCACCATACAACGTCAATGCAATGTCATATGATGACTTTCGTACAACGTTGTACAAATTACCGATATACAACATTTTTACAACCAACAATTATACAGTCAACGTTGTGGCAACGTTGCTTGAATGTCATCATTACACGTTACCAAATGACAACATTTTCACAACTTTGCACAACGTTGTGGCAAGTTGTATTAGCTGGGACGTGGTGCGAAATCCAAAGTATTGTGGAATGTGTATTCTTATTATGTTAAGATATTGAGTTTATTCAAGGGTTTAGTGGATAAACAGTAGTTAGTTGATCATGCATCTTGTTGGTTTAGTATTGTCTCCAGTTACAGTAAAGTCAGAGACAAACGGGTAACCACCCAGCTAACACATCACGTTGCCACAACGTTGTGCAAAGTTGTGAAAATGTTGTCATTTGGTAACGTGTCACGATGACATTCAAGCAACGTTGACACAACGTTTGACTGTATAATTGTTGGTTGTAAAAATGTTGTATATCGGTAATTTGTACAACGTTGTACGAAAGTCATCATATGACATTGTATTGACGTTGTATGGTGGTCGTTTCACAATCGTTGTAATAAAGTAATAAATATGACGTTGTGGTTACGTTGAATGTAGGTGTTTTCATGATGTTGTTTTTAAGTTGTCAATGTTACGTTGTGAGAACGTTGTAATTTAGAATGTTTACAACGTTGCTGTGAGGTTATAATCATCACGTTGAGTTAACGTTCCATCTACGTTATTTTATAACGTTTTTTTTTTCAGTTGTGAAAATCACATTGACACGACGTTGTAGTTTGGTATTTCAAAACGTTGCTGTGATGTAATAATCATGACGTTGTTGTAACATTGTATGTGGGTACTTTACAACGTTGTTGGTATGTTGTCAATCTCACGTTGTCATGACGTTGTAGATAAATATGTACACCACGTTGCTGTGTTCATGACGTTATGATGACGTTGCATAAAAGTCTCATCATAATGTCGTTGTTAAGTTGTAAATATCATGTTGTCGTGACATTGCAGTTTGGTATTTTCACAGCGTTGCTGCTATGTTGTGAACCTCACGTTGCTGTAACGTTTTATAAAGGTGTTTTGACACTGAATTTAAGTTGTAATTATGCTGTGGGTTATGATCCATGCTGTTGTGGTATTGACAAAAACATTGTGATTACGATTTACTGAATGTGAAGTGAACATAATGTTTTAATTAATGATGTTTTATTTGATAATAATTAACATTTGGGTGCCGCCTTGCATTAATAATGTAACTCATGAAATTTCGAGCATCATCATGTGTGTTTTGTCGTAGTAGGAATATAATGTTTCCATATATTTTTCTAATGGTCTAAGATGGATGAGATCGTGGTCAAAGCGTGACTGTTTCCCGCTCATATTCATTGTTGTATACTCAATGTATATATTTATTGCACACACCAACGTAACTTGAAATATGATTCCTGTTCTCAAAGAAAATATTACCATGGCGCATGCGCGTCAGCAGAAATTCCACGTCCAGACCGCGTGATAGCTTATTTGAATCGCTCTGCTCAGTCGAGTCAGCGATCTAGCAGCAGCAGCTCACTAGTATAATGGTCGCCGACTCGCCGTTCAGTTGATGTGAATTAGCCATGGTCACCACTGAAGCAAGTTATTTTCACTACAGCATTTCTTAGAAGGTAGGAATGACATTTTCTGTATCTTGGCTTCATTCTTGTGTCGAACACATTGTCTAAAAATCTGAAGAAATTGGATCAAATTAAAGTAAAACAACTTTTCGAACAAAGTCGCTGTAAAAAAATGAAGATTTTCCTATGCCTATCATCTTGGGTTTTTTTTATAAATGTTGAAAATGTTCTTCAGACTCGATCAGAATAAATGTAGATTAATTAAGAGTGAAAATATGTGCCTCAATTGAGATTGGAGGCTCGTCAATGCGAACAGTTTTGGAGGATCATACACTGAAAGAAACGTTCAAGTCATCTGGTTTTAAATTTAATAATAAAATCTTGGTAATATTCCAAGGAAATAATATTCATGTGGATCAGATTTACTCGAATTCATGTGAGACATGTTAGACCTTTTTAACAACACTTTAGGTTGGAAAGTTATTTGTTCGATAGTTATATTTTTAGATAAAACAGATATTGTTTTAGCAAATGGCAAAATGTTGGAAGTGTATACATTATATCGAGAAGACTTTTGATTTGTGTACTATAGTATAGGCTTATGTTTTTATTTTTTTTCAAATTGATGAATTAATCAAACTGTAACAATATTGTATTGAGATACCCATGATACCCGAGCCAACAACCGTGAAATTGTATACCTGGGGTATCTCTTAATTTATAGATCTGATTTGATTTTCTCTTAACTAAAACTTGCGCAAATTTAAGCATAAACAGTCCGTTATAAAATTCCCGCTCAAAGACAGTGTACGGTTGTAATACTAATAGCAACGCGCATTAGCATTTCAGTCCCAAGGGTCAGGCCTAAAGTTCACGTACCAGGACTGTACTCGTATAAACGGTCATCTGGCTTTCGTTGGCTCGTACATAACAAGTGTATACAGTTTCAATCCGGGCTTTCGGGCTGTATAGCTCCCAGGGTTTGGCGTGATTTATGGGAGTTTGACCAAAGTGTATGGAGTAGGGTTCAGGGCCAGGTCAGCACTGTTACAAGATCAATGAAAAATACGCGAACTATAAAAGCCTTTTCTAAAACTAGGGTCATTTGTAGACTAGTTTTTGTGTGTGAAAAATAAGACATTATATGGGTTGAAGAGCACGGGGACATCATGATACTGTGTTCAAACTTTATTAGTTTTACATATTACTCAACCTTAACAAACATCGTTACTTTCTCCAGGTAGGCAGTACACAGGTTTGCTATACGTGAGTGCACTGGCTGCTGGATGTGGCATGTTTTAACTTTTAACTTCAGCAGTCTTCGAGGGAAGAAGTTTCTAATTATTTTGAAGACCAACCCATACATCTCTTCAAGGTTGTTGCTGTAAGTAATTCAACATACATGACCTTTTTATACATGTATCTCTGTAAGATGGTGAAATTAACTTTTAATGTGTTGAAAATACACCTTGGTCGAAATAGACGAATTGCTGTTTCCTTTTAAAATGTCGGTAGTTTCTCGTGTACATTTTGATATAGCATTAAATTCATGTTTTCTATCATTTATTAGGGGCCTGCATGACAACTCGTCGAGTAGCAGAGGCCAAGGCGAGGGGAGGACATAGCTTCATTCTGGAAGTTTGCCCCACTAACAAGCCCGGAGGGCAAGATTCAGGGTAATATTAATTACACCAAATTACTGTGAACAGTATTTAAGTTGCCTGTAAAATTAACAAGTAGGCCTGGGCCTACAGAGTAAGAAAACAACTCTTTTATATAAGGCAAAGTTATCTTAATGTCGACTTCACACTAATGGCTGAAGACAACAGTGTAATATCTATCCAAGATATACAAACTTGTACACTGGAAGTTGTTTGCGGATGGTGTACTCTTTACCAGAATTGCCTTTGAAGCATTAATCGCAGTACGCTTGCGGAACACAAAAATGAAATGTCAGTACATTTTGTTTACCTTCTCATGCACAATAATGATCCAAAAAGAAGTGACAGATAATCCAAAAATAAGTCGGTTGGTCATCATCGGCTGTCCACCATCTGGACAAATCTTTACATTTATTTGTTTCTATTTTGTGTGTGTGTGCAGAATCCTGCCAACCCTGCCAACGCTGTTCAGCCCGCCGACCCTGTCGACCCTGCAAACCCTGAAGATGATGAATAACGACACTGCATCTTTTGCGTGAAAATAAGTGCATCGCTCGTGCTCTTCAAAATTTGTTTTCTTGTAGGCCTATTAGGGCTTCCCTATTTATCTCCGTGGTTCTCATAATTATTTTTATTTGCCCTTATATGAAGCCTAGTCGGTCAGTCAAAAAGCAATAACAATCTGAACTAAAGTTGCACTCGTAAAGATGGTAAACTAAATGATGCAATAAGTTTATCATGATTTTATATCACTGAATACAATTTTTAAAAAACCCATTTTGGCCAATTATAGACGACTTACAGTAATGTCTGGACGAAGCATCTCATTAACAATTTAGTTGTAGTGGCAGCAATATTATAATGAGAGGCAAAATTCTCTCATCTGTCTTTCTTCCTCTGATTTCCGTAAGCCGTAATTTTCAAGTCGAGAAAAAAATATGATATTCAATTTAAATAACATTTCAGAATAACACAGAGCTAGTTGCTCGAATGCAATATTCTTTGTTTTTTTATTTGGAAAAAAATTGTCTGTGAATGGGGTTTTGGAAATTGTCGGCGGAAAAACATATCCCAAAATAGGGTCGATTAAAAAATGAGAACCAAAGAAATATAAGGTGAAGTCCCAATGACTAATTAATGGTAATGAAGAAAGTATTGTTAGCTCTTTTTTTTTTGGAGGGAGCATTGTATATTGGGGAAAAATAGGAGGTTTTATCATTTTAGGCCGCGCAGATCCACTATGCAAGTAGACTGGTTCATGATGTCCCTTTTCATTGTATAATCGATTCTAAACGGATATGGGATTGACTCGAATGTGAACGCAAACAGTTAAATTATATAAACTTACTTGCCAATAGTAAAAACGTCCTGATATTTTTGTTGACAAAGTTCGTTCAAATTGTGTAACTTTTGAATTACTAAGATAGCAATGTTTAAAAACCAATTGTGTTTTCGGGATGAAACTCAAAAATAACAGAAAACATAAAATATGTTGTCAGAAAACTCAGTCCCACGTTGCCTGAAGAATAATATTTTACGTTAAAGTTACTTATAGCATAACTGGTAGTCACCCGGAGATGTACGCCTGCCCAGCTTAGCAATTTCAGGACATTTAAATCCTTGCTAAAGGTTAATATATGCATATAAATAAATAGACTTGTGCCCATCCTTGCTGAAGATGAATACATGTATAATTATATGCACAAAATCTGACACTCTATCGTTTTGAAGGGAAACTGACAAAATAATGCCGTTGGCGGGCAATCTGTTTTACTGTTCCTGCTTCCCAGCAAAAACACACACAAAACTAGATCATTGGTTTTCTAACTGAATCAAGAGGCTTTAATGTGTTATTTTTAAATAGGCGAACTGAAAGCGACATTGTACTGTTATATCAGATTTATACTAGCTTTGTAATAATAATGATTGACGAAGGTTTGCTTCCATGCATTCACCGGATACATTCTTTGTAATAAATGTAGAAACAGTAAGTCTGATGGTTAATTTTTGTTTTGTTTATTGTTTGCAGACAGGTATATCGTCGTTACACGATTAGTTTAGTTAATAAACCGTGCCAGGAACAATGTTGCTACAAGGTCCCCACAAAGTTGCAGTGATGTATCTAATAAGTTGCGTGAACGTTTTTGAAAAGTTGTGAGGTGCCCACAAAGTTACCGGAACGTGTTGACTTAGTTGCAGTAACGTCTGTAATGAGCCATTGACGTGCTAACAATTAAGGTTGTAGAAACGTCCCCACATCGTGGCCATGAAGTTGCAATAATGTGTCCTACAAGCTGCATTAACGTGGCCAAAAAGTTGCCCTGACGTGCCCATAAGGTTGTAGGAACGTCCCCATAAAGGTTGCAGAAACGTGCCTATCAGGTTGTAGTTATGTCCAACAAGTTGCATTAACGTGGCAAAAGAGTTGTCGTGACGTGCCTATAAGGTTGCAGGAACGTCCCAATAAAAGTTGCAGTAACGTGCCAATCATGGTGTAATCATGTCCCCACAAGGTTGTATAAATGTTCATTTTAAGTGGCCATTAAGTTGCAGTAACGTTCCGTCATGGTGGTAATCATGTCGTAATCATGTTGCATTTACGTGCCAAGACGTTGTATAAAGGTGACAATTACGTTGCTGGAGGGTTGCAGGATCGTGTACTGAAAACGTTGTAATAAATGTTTCATTGACGTTTTTATAACGTCTTTTAAACGTTGTGTAATAGCGTTGTGGCAACGTGCACGCGAGTCAACATTTTTACGTTGCCGCAACGTAATTTTCTGAACGTTGCCGCCACGAAAACGTGACCTTTTTGCAACGTTGTTACAACGTGAATGTGTTAGCTGGGCAGGCCCACAAAAAAAAAAATTTAAAAAAATTAGTGGTTGTCAGGTTGTTTGGATGGTTTGGAAGCGCTGTGAATAATTTACTTATCTGCAGCACAAGAGCCCATTGTCTATTTGTCAAATTATGAGTGGTAGGGTCAGCACAAACGGACAAGCGACTATCGCCGGGGTGCTGGGCCACGTCCATTATCATTGTAATGATTGATCTAAGCCACTCTCCCTCCATGGGCTCTTGTGCTGCAGATAAGTAAATTATTCACAGCGTTTATCAGCTTGTAAAAAGCGAGGGTGTTCTAATTGTTGTGAGAAGCAATTGCGCTTCCAATTGTAGGGATATCTGTAGTCCCTTGGGACTTGTGAGAAGCGATTGCACTTCTAATGTTAGGGATATCCTATTAGTCCATGGGGACTTGTGAGAAACGATTGCGCTTCTAATTGTTGGGAGAAGCGACTACACTTCTAAATTGTTGGGAGAAGCGATTGCACTTCTAATTGTATGGATATCCGTAGTCCCTTGGGAACTGTGAGAAGCGATTGCGCTTATGTATGGATGGGATCTACCCGATATTAAAGAAAATAACAGGCATCTTTTCTGTGTGATACGTATGTAACGTGGACAGACACACTGCTAGGAAAAGGGTGCTTAGGACAAATTAAGTTTCTAATAGGCACTTCCAGTGACATAGGCCACTTTACATTGTTATCAAGCAAAAATATAACAGTTTTCACACTGGCTTCAAATTTATGATGTGAGTAGGGTTACGTACGAACAGGGACAGACATTTTGTGACAAATGTCCAGTCTGTTTGTACCGGTACGTATAAATCCTGATTATAAAATATCAAATAATTCTTCGCACTGACTCTGAGTTTTCTAGGTTTTGACTGATAAGCATTCCTCTAGGGTACATCTTACAAAGTAAGCTTCATGCTTACTTTGTGACTTTATCTAAAATGTCTGTCCTTCGTTACGTACATGTATCGTAACACTTTTTAAAACAACATCCACTATATTTTCTAAAATACAAAGCCAGTTATATCATTTGCAGGTAAGGACATTTGTTCAAAGCTTGCAATGTTTACAGCAAAAATTGAGAGACCAAGACTGCAGTTTTATCATCAAAACTTAAAGGTCTTCTCAAATGTCACACTTTTGGGCGCATTAGTGTGGAATTGCCCAACTGCATATAGTATGCAAGTTGTAATATGATTATTCAACCATGCTTACCTGGACCTTGTAATGATCATAACTGATATCATGTACCGTAATTTCCTGCGGATAAGACGCGTCTTATCTGACTTTCTAGACCACAAAAACATCGCTGCGCCTTATCTACAGGTGCCTTATCTGGTGTCGCTTGAGTTCAAAGTGACAGTCTTTGTGTGAAGAATTCTTTCAATGCCGCAATCAATAATGCGGTCAACCAAGGCTCAACTCTCCAGACATTGTGACCGTATTTTCATTCCAACAATGCCGCGATGTGTTGATCCCCCATGATCGTGCTTTCATTCCAACAATGCCGCAATGCGTTGATCCCCCTTAGTGATCGTGCTTTCGTTCCAACAATGCCGTCATACAAACGTTTTTCTTTGTGGCCGTTTTTTCATTCCGAAAATGCTGCAATCAGAATTACTTAAACGTTTGGAAATCGCATTCACTCAAGTTCTATTGTGTGAACATTGAGGGTGTTTATTGTACAGGATATCTTCGAAGTCTGCTTTAGACTTAGGATAATATGAAGTACTAATGTTTATTTGTTGCACTTTCGTTTGTTTCATTAAACGTTCAAATCGTTCATTTATTAATTGCCTCTTTTTAGACGTTTGTTTTAAAAAGTATTATGGGAATTTGTATTATCTTATTATAATAGTAGGTCAGGTTTTTATTTTAAATATGGTAATAGGAGTTTTGTTTTAAGAAATTTTTATATTTAGGATAATATTATGATAAGACTTATGTTTCTGGATTTGTTGGGACTTTTCTTATGATTTGGGAAACCTTTTTTGACCCTTTGAACTTTTTATTTGTTACTTTATTCAGACAGCACGATATCAATCTCTTTTTTGATGATGTGGTGGCTCTGAAAAGAGCCAGTTGGTTTTTCTTGTTTGTCTAGACGTCTGGAAAGCCGTCAAAGTCGTCATCCTCGCTGTCGCTATGAAACATAGCCAGCAACTCGTCGTCGAGGTCTGTTGCCCGACGATCGGCTGTCTCTTCCTCCGCGATGTATACATCGCTGACATATAGCTTATAGCATATACTCCGCTGACATATAGCTTCAAATAAACTTTGAAGAGTCCAACAAAACAAACCGTCCTTATCAGGACGACCAAACGAGAAAAGAGATGGTTCATGTGTCTGTTTCGTTTATTTTATTAGTAAGATATCAAATAAGTTTAATGATCTTGAAAACAAAACTAACACTAAGAGAAGCGATGTATTAAACAAATATCTTATGAACGTGATTAACAAATTATAGGTTTGAAATAAAGGAAAAGAACTTTAAATACAAAAAAAACATTACAACAATCTTTAAAAAATATATAATAAAACATTTTTGTTACGTCTCCCCCGGTGTGACGGGATTATTTTCGTATGGTATATACATAGGCGACGCTAGTTTTTGTATTAGTCACCGGTAGAGGGCGCAACATCTGGCTCAGAGGGACTGGGCAAGTCTA